CCGACCAAATATCTTAGTCGCCAATTGTCACATTCCACGACCAAAAAATTTGATCGCAAATTATCACATTCAACGACCAAAAAGTGTAGTCGTCAATTGTGACATTCCACGATCAAAAAAATTTGGTAACCAATTGTGACATTCTATGACCAAAAATTTTGGTCACCAATTGTCACATTCCACGACCAAACATGTTTGTCGCCAAAAGAATTGTTTGCGCAACTAAAACTTTAGTTGGCAATAGGCCTATTCGCGACCAAATCCTTTGGTTGCCAAAATTAATAATTTTAACGACTAATTATTTAGTCGCCAAATGTGCTTGGTGATATACCAACTACTTTATTTAGTCGACAAAAGTATAACTTATCTTTCCCGACTAATCAATTGGTCGCCAAAACTAAAAACATAAAGCCAAAATTTGGTAGCCAACATCCAACAAAATAAATATGTAATTTATAATAATCCATCCAATTTATTCAACATAATCTGTAATTTGCAAAAATTATTTAAACCAACAAATAAATTGAATCATGAACATTCAACAAAATACATATATCAACCATTTTTGAACCTATTTAATTAAAGTCAGCAACTATTATAAGTTTTCATCCACAAGTAATTCCAAACTACATATTTCATCTAGCATAAAAATTTAAAACATAATAATAAAAATTTAAAACATAACAAGTACATATTATTATGTTTTAAATTTTTATCCATGTGCATCAACCCAAAAATATAACTAGTAGCCTACCAAATATTTTCCATACACACCCATCCAAAAATATAACTACTAGTCTACCCTAATATTTTCCATATACATCTATACAAAAATATATAATCCTTCCAAAAATACAAAAAATGCCAATTTGTCCTGTATAATTTAGCTTTGTGCACGAGTTCATCCATCTGTACGAAAGAAAAAGAGAAATAATGTCAGGTAAAATTGGACAAATAATGAAAAATGTCCATGAAAAGTTAAGGTCACATTAGCAAATTAAATTACTATCATTATCAAATTGTAAATAAAACAACAACATTCTTATGTCTATAACATTACCACTTTTGTATTTCATTGTTTAGTTTTTTGAACGGACTTACATGTAATCCAAAGAAGAACAAGTCAAAAATAATTAAATAAAACAACAGTTCACAATAATATGCAATGGACTTCTCAACTAGCAAATATAAACTGTACATATTGGCATACATGAGTGTCTAACCATACTGAAGGGGAAAATTGAAGCGGAATTCAAACGGCCGGTGTTTGCATTTTTTATCACATTGTTTAGAGGCAGTTACATCTAGCTAATTAATACTTAATAGAAACCAGAGATCAGGTTCCCCTCCTAATTCTGAAAACTTAGGGCCAGCACTAAACAGTGTCTTTTCATTAATAATTTTGTTTGGGTAAGTAATTCATTTTCGTTAACTTAAACAATATGATAAAATGTTTGTTATGGATCACCGAGTGGAACCTCAATTAAAAATTCATTGCATCAGTTTATGTTCTTTTCGAATTTAGTCTTAAAAAGTATTGCAGAATTTGATAGCCCATTGTTTGGGTATGTTGGTGCACCTGCCTAAGCTACCACATTGTCCTTATTCATTTACTGGGTTACCTAAAAGCATATTGTATTTGAGATTTATGTATCTCCTTTAACTAGCCCACTAAAATTGTACAAAGATCATTGTAAATCCTATACTACCCCACGTGTTATATTTTAGTTTTGTAATGGTATGGAACAAAAACTGAAAATTATTCCAACGAGTAAAAAAAAAAAATTTCACCTTTGCTTTGAAATTAGATAAAAAGGTATGGAAAGATAAGTGGTGTTCAATTTTTGACCCCAAACGGCCTATTTTTGCCTTTTTTCATCACATTTTTTTGTCTAAATATCTAACCATTCGTCCAAGCATGCTTCCAAATGTCATCAAAAATCAATTTGCAAAGAAAATAAAAAAGGAAAACATTAATATATTATCAATTACCAATTTAGCAAAAATGTATTTTCTACCGAAATTTGACTTTCATCTGTACTAAATCACAAAACAACAGCTAATCTAATTGGGGGCAAGCTCTTGCAAGTTATATGAACAACTATGAACCTGCTAATATTGAAAACACTTAAGCAACATGATGAGTTTTATTGTCATATAGAATGGTTCAATGAAACTTGGATCTTTGTTCTACTAACGCCAGTTATCTCCACAAATTTCACTATCTACCAGTGGATGTCCTTTTGTTACAACTTTACTATCTCACTCACTATTTCTCCAACTTTGCTTAGAAAGAAATGAGAATACTGATATGGGTTGATTGTTTTTAATGGGTTTTCAATTTTACAAAATTTGAACTAAGATAGATCAATATAAACAATATAAAACTAAGCATGGTGTAAGTCTCACATAACACTTGGTGTAAGTCTCACTAACTCCAGTTATCTCCACAAAATTTGAACATTCACATTGGTGTAAGTCTCACATAACACTTATATGTTTATTTTTATTTTTTTTGTACATCAGAAATAAACATAACACTTATATGTATGTGTGAGGTCTGCACCCATGTTACATGTGAATGTTCTGTATATTCTTCTCCTATGGATGTAGAACTGAAGCGCAAAAATGCACGAATCGTGGTAAGGGAAAAAAAATCACTTTTGATTTTGACGTCTAAAAATAATATTGCCCACTTTGCAATAGAGAAGATATATGGTTTGTCAATAAAGTTACAAGTAGAAGCATCAGCACCTCAAACTTTACAGTGTTCAAATTTACACGAGCGAAAGCTCTCCAGGAGGAACAGATCTCTTCACAAGTTTAGCCCAAGATTCATTAGTCTCGGTGATTACCTTAAGAGCATAATCCTTTTTATTCCAAAACAATTAATTTCACTAATTAAACAACAGAACAATATCATATAGAATTCAAAACATAATCTATAAATAAATTAAATTTTTTTTAACGACAATAAAATAACAACAATATGGAAATTCCATTCTTAAAGAACGACATAATCAACTCTTGTTCTTGGATTCAGTCCTTTCCAGTGGTTTGACAAGTACTTCAAATTCATGAGCAAAATGAATATGTTTCAATGCACATAAATTTCTATGCGTTATGTACTTATGCTGCATGACATACAATTTTCTAATCAAACACCATTCAAGATGGTCAGAACTGCATCTAAACAATGTCGATTGATTGAAGCATAGAAATCATAATACCTTGTTTGCTGCCTTGTTGCCAAGACCAAATTTTTTTGCAGGTTTTCCATCAGGGATCTTGTAGTCTCTGAACCAGTCTCTGACGGCAGTGAGAGTGCCCTGGAGAAGATACCCAATCAGGCCCGTGACAATTATGCACAGCAATTAATTTACATAGGTGCCAAATCAATTTTTAAGCAGCCTATGTCAACTTATATTTCTATTAACCAGGGACTACCATAGCTTGCTAATAAATAGAACACCTTAGCCCTGATTACCGACATTGCAATGTAATCAGAATGATGTACATATGCACCGCTGATTACTAACATCGAAATCTAAATCACACCTTCATTCACATTGCTTGAATTTAATGGCTTTGAGTAACCAACACCGTAAAATATTGACTTTCACACCAATCATTGGTCATGCCCTTATTAAGATAATTAAAAAATAAATAAAAAAAGAAAGAAGAAAAGGATGAAAAATGCTGTATAGCTCAGATGTACTTAAGACATAGATATTGTATTTAATAAAACCAGTACATTGCTAGTGCTTCTGAGACTATATTTGTCTTACAAAATTCCATACTGTAAACAAAGTATAATGCAGCGGAATAAAAATTATGGTCATACCTTTCAAAATAGAGTCTGAATTGAAGGATCTCGTGGGTAAATCACGTGCTTCCAGAATCTGATAAACCAACCCAGCAGTGAAGTGATATTACAGAATGAATATCACCACACAAATCACAGTGCAAGTGACTTGATCGTTGTTTTTGGGAGAGAGTCAGTATATAGGTAAAACTCAAACATACGTTATTTTTTCACTTAATCACCCATATCCCATATATCAGATATATAATCTATTTATCTCATTTATCCATATTTGTTAAATGAGATAATATCTGATATCTATATCATCTATCCATTTCATGATATGATATGATAGATATATATCCTGAGTGGCTATCCAAATAGGTTTGAATTCAAATTCAAAACCCATTTGGATAAGGTTCAAAAGGTTCTAAGGGTCATGCCACATGGGCGCCCAATTTCTAACATCTCTCACTCAGACATGAGTTGGCATGACACTGCCACGTCTCTATCTCAATCTCTCCAAAAATAAAACAATCTCAACTAGCCACTGCACCGTGCGACTGCTGAGTTGTGGGGCTCTATATAGAAACTTCAAAATGCAGCCAGCATAGAGACATTCAACCGCGATGAAAAGAAAGAAAATAGTGTCCTCATATACCCCAGACCCAACTGCTAGATTACCCCGTGATCGCAAAAAGACGATCTCTAATCCCTCAAAAAGAGCATGTTTGACCCGTCTTCGAATCTTGGCAAGTGAGAATTTCACATCTCAATTCGCCTCTTAGGTACAGAGCTGATGTTGAGGTGCACGGGCAGGCGGTGAATATACAACGTGAGGAGGTGTGATAGGTATGAATACTAGATGATCTCCCTTTGCACTCATGCCATTTAGTTTAGGAGTTATGACCCGCTTTCCCAGTGATGTCCCTTGGATAGGGCCGAATAGCATGACGCAGGCAACATCCAAAAGTAGCAGAACATCAACCCCTTACCTTGATATAGACGATATCAAAAGTCACATAAACAGGGTAGCGATGAATATGAAATTCATATCAATGAATAAGGTTATATGACAGGTAACTCACACGGTGATGGAAGCAGAGAGCGCGATTCTCTCACGTCATTACTGCCGGTCGCCAAGCACATATAGTAGATACATCACGGTGGGAGTACTCTATCCATAAAAACCCAGCGCAGTGACGATTCATACTCCAGACCCACA